TTTTTTTTTTTTTTTTGAAAAAAAAAATGATTTTAAGGGTTTTCTTACATGGAAGCTGATGCAGAGGGCGTTGGTTGTGGGATTTGAGAGGGGGTACTAATTCCACTTCAAACAAGAATAAGTGGGTAAGAAGATGCCCACATAGTTTCTGGACAAGTTTAGGGTGCGAAGTATGTATTTCCCCTAACATAAATATTCACTTTGTCAACATATTGCAAACTGGGACTATATAACTAATGTCTGGATTAGTGAGCTACTTGGTTTCAAGTATATTCCTATTTTCCCTTCATCCCAGTTTCCTGCACCTACGACTATTCAACCAAAGTTGAGCAAATTCTCTACTTTACAACTGTCCATTGCAAATGAAAACAGTGTGTGCACGTGTGTGCGTGCATGTGAATGTGTTCGGATAAAACACGAGACAAAATTTCGCATCCTTTTCATGCTATAGAATATACTATGATTGTATGATGGCCACTAGATCCAAGCAAATACAAATTAGTATAGCTGTTCCTACAACATAATACATTATACACTAGCAACCTGGGTGGACAATGAAGTTAACAATCTAAAGTATTACTCTCTTGTTCTACATTTTGTTTTAAAATGTTTAGTGGAAGTAGGGGTGTCAATGGATCGGTTCGGTTGGTTATTTTATAAAATTGGTACCATATCAATTTTTCGATTATTCTATTATGTATAACTAAAATTAGACTTTTCGAAACCGTTCCAATCATGTCGGTTTCTAATCGGTATCGGTACGATTCGGTTAATTTTCGGTATGTTTTTAAATATCATGTAAAATTCACCGGTAGAAATAAAATGCAATAATATACGTTCTTTTATATGACTTAGCAAAACTCTCTAGACATTTTTATTGTTTAAAGAATGATGATTAAAAAAAATAAAAGATGGCTAGAGTATAGATCCATCAATTATTCTACAACAACGTAAAAGAAACAAAGCAAAGGCAAAGAAAATATAAATCACACGAGCGGAAAGATATTAACCAAGTTGGGACTCAAGAATAAAGTATATAAAAGATTAAATATTCAAAAAGATAAATCTAAATTATATGAAAGGAAACATATTCAATACATTGTAGTTTGCTACTCATTATCGCTAAAATACTTTGTGTCTTGCTAATAAAGATACTTAAAATAACTTAGCTTAAGTAGATGTAGCATAATAGGTTTTAGGAATTAGTATTTTGAGTTTAATTAATTGTTGGCTTGTAATAGTTTGCATAATTTCAAGGCCCAAAGAAAAATTTAATGCATTATTATTTTTAAACTTACTAGATAAATATATTTTTCACATGTAAAATTTATTCGGTACGGTTTAGTATTTTTTCGGTTTATTTTTATAAAATAAAAAACCTATCCTAATTATCGGTACGGTTATAAATTTATATAAAAACCTACGATTTCTTAAAAAGAAACCTAAAATTCAATTCGATATGGTACGGTACGGATTCGGTCGATTTAGTCGTTTTTCAAATATCTATTACACCCCTAAGTGGAAGTACCACAGAACTAGTAAGAATGTGATACTATTTCCAATCACTGCTCTGCTATGTTTAAACATAGGGAATAATGCCTTCG